CCTTGGCTAGCAGCCAGGGATGGCCCTGTCCTCCAGGAACGCAGCTAATTCCCCTTCTGAACCCAGTCCTGCCTCCGGCCCTCACCGCACCCCGGCCCCAGTCCCTCCCTGCGCTGTGCAGCTACGTCCGTTCGCTGGTTCCAAGCCGGGGGCCTGTTACTTTCATGGGGCGACCCCGGTTTGTGTTGTGGGACGGGGTAACGGCCTTTCCTCAGTTCATCTTGCTGCAGCCTGATCTCAGGGGTCAGAAAAGAGCTCGAGAGATTCACGGAGGACAGGTCCATCCGTGGCTATTAGCCGGGCTGGGCAGGGAGGGCTGTGTCGGGGCTGGGAATGGGCGACGGGAGGGATCACACAATGGTTCCCTGCTCTGTTCACTCCCTCTGGGGCTCCCGGCACTGGGCACCGTGGGCAGACACGACACCGGGCTGGCTGGACCCCTGCTCTGACCCCGCTGAGGTTCTAGAGCCCTCTCTCAAACCCCCCTCGGGCATCCCTCGTCGGAGATGCACAGTCCTGTTCTTTTCCGTCTCTCCGCCCAGGGCAGCCCCTTATGAATTGGTTGCCTGGCCCTGCCCTTCTTCCAGCTCTAATCTCTCTTGCGGTGCCTGGTGCTCGCAGTGTGGGTGTGCCGGGGCTTGGCAGGGCGGCGTCCGGAGCGCAGAAGAAAGGTGGCTTTGTTAGAACTTTTCTTTGTTTTCTGTGCCATCCACCACCCTGCAAGTCAGACCCTGTGCCAAGAACCCGCCGCCCACAGCTTTGCTTGCTGGGCGGGTTGCTATAGATTCCCAGAGCCTGCGCCTCTTAGTGGGGTCAATCCAAACCCACCCAGGGCCTGTGGAGGCTCCTGCTGGTCCTACTGGCCGTTGGCTGAAGTCCAAGACGTCCCCAGCCACATCCCGACTATGGCCCACCAGCGGTACTCAGAGCGCCAGCCTGGCGAGACGAATTGGAGGAGGAAGGACCTAACAGGGCCTCCTCTGTTCCAATCTATCAGCCCCTCGCCCAGCCTCCAGCTGCCCTACGGCTTCCTTCTCAACTCCCTCATCGGTCCCATTCTCAGTCACACATCTGGATGCTGCTGGATCCAAAGCTAGGGTTCCCCCCCCAAGAGTCCCTGTCCCCTGCCCCACCCCTTTAAAACAGGGCCTCTCCCAGGCAGGCGTGAGTGATGACCACATCTGCTGCTGCAGGGAAAGCGGCCCGTCCCAGGCAGGACTTTGGACACAGGCTGTGTGGGGAAGGGTCCCATGTTCTTGGCAAACAGCTCTCTCCTCAGACCCGACAAACTCGCTGCACCAAACAGAGCTTCAATTGGGGCTGTCGGGCGAGCTGTCTGCAGGAAGCCCGGCACTGCTGGAGACCCAGGATTGTCGTGAGCTGTCTGGGGGCCACAGCTCAGGCATGATGTGCTGCTATGGAAAGTCATGGGCCCGGAGTCGGTCCCCAGGAGCGCTGCGTCTTGGCGACAGCCCCTGCACCCAGGAGGAACTGGTGTGGACACGGCAGCCAAAGGAGGACACATGAATGAACCAGCAGGCTGCAACTTCAACTGAACTATGACACGGGGGGGAGGGGGCGCTGCGTGCCCATCACCCCAGCTCTCCTATACGGGGGGCTCCTTACCGTACTTTGTAACGGGGCCCAGGGCGACACAGCTTTGTAACACTTACCCCACAACGTGGAGTAGGGTCTCCCCAGCCTACCCCCAGGACTCCGCTCTGCCACCCTCCGCCTGATGAGGGTGCAGCAGCGTGGGAACCTCAGCCCATGAGGACCACAAGGTCTCACCCGCTTACATGAGTCCAAGGCCCGTCACCAAAATCCCAGGCCTTTCGCTCTGGGAAACTCTCCATTTGCTCTTCCTCCTCCTCTCCACGGCACTGGAAACCAGGCATACGGGTGCCAGCGACTCGCTTGGTCGCTGCGCACCAGCTACCCTGCCTGCTAACCCCACCCCACCCCACCGGACACCTCCTTCCTGAAAGCTTTGGCCGACTGTAATGGAATCCCGAGGCTGTATGAGGGTATGTCTACTCTGCCACCCTAGTTTGAACTAGGGAGGCTAATGTAGGCATTTGAAGTTGCAAATGAAGCCCGGGATTTAAATATCCCAGGCTTTATTTGCATGGTCCTGGGCGCCGCCATTTTTAAATGCCCCGTAGTTTGAACTAACTGTCCGCATTTTTAAATGCCCGGTAGTTCGAACTAACTGTCCGTGTTTTACACGAGGCACGGGCTAGGTAGTTCAAATTAGGAGCTTTACTTCGAATTACCGTTACTCCTCCTGCAATGAGCTCCCAGCTCTGGCCTATATACTAACCTTAGTAGTACTAGCTTGTCCCATGTAGAAGGAGTTCTTGAACAGACTCAGACACATGGACAGAAACGCAGACGCACAAACTCTCTCAAATATAGAGCAGATGATGCTAACTGCATGCCATTGTTTTCTAAAAAGGGATGATTCGAGATCTGTCTTCACTTTTCTTTATTCTGCAGTTGCTAACGTTTGGTAAATGACCTGTCTTAAAAACGCTCGCATTGTCCTAACAATGTGGTTTTTCCCCTCCAAAAATACATGTTAATGCTTCTCCTTTATTCCTTCACCATTCAGACTATGTACACGGCGTGCTAAACTGTCTTTAGAAATGCACCAAACATGGGCAAACGTTCTTTCCTCTAAAATGTGATGTATTGAATCGCATTGCTTTACAGAACCCAATACGTGTAAAACAAAACCAACATTTTAAAAATCTCATTTCGTAAAACAGCCAACACACCAAAGAGGCAAAACTGAAAGCGACGGGCGAGCCATAAGGCACAATGGGAGCGTGGCTTCCTGTCAACACGTAGATGGAAAAAGGTGCCGCGCTGTAACTCCTCTGAAAGGCCCTACGAGGCAGGAGCCGCTGCTCTTGCTCTTTCTCTTCCACCTTTTTCCATCGAGGTGCTGCTCTCCATGGTCACGTGCTAGCAGAGGGGGATCTTTGTGCTTTGGACCGTTGGCTCGTTACACGAGAGTAAAACGGCTGAGAGCCTCTGGCAAACCTGGCACCTGTGTTCCTCCTCCGCCAGTGCCATTCTCTGTCTGTTTACCTGCAGGGTTTGCCTTGGCACGGCCCGTGTGGGCTGGGCGCTGGATCGTTTTCCGTAGCGTTTCTCTGGCTTTGGTCACGGGAGCTGGGCAATCAGGCCCCAGTCTTATCACACCCTGAGTCCCACAGGCAGGGCTGCTCACACCGTGCTGGCGATAACAGAGCACTCTTCTTGTTTCCGGCTGTTTCCAGTGTTCTCAGACCTTATTCTCCACCCTGTCAAAACAGGAGAGGCACCATTCTAGCCCTCCTCTGCCCCAGCCTGGATCCGACGTGGCAAATCCACTGTCTCTTTCTCCCTCTGTCTTCTCCTGCCTCCCCCCATTAGTCCTAAGCCAGGAGACAAGTCTCACCGGGCCCCTGCCGCTGGTGTGAAGAGGGCTAGTCCTTAGGCCAGGCGCTCTGTTCTTCCTGTCCAGTCCACTGCACTGCGCTCCCGCAGTGTTTCTTGGAGAGGGTGGAACGCACCATCAGTATCCCCTGCCTGCAGCGTGCATGCCAGAGGGGGAAACTAGAACTCCCCTTGGGTTCAAAGCACCCCTCCTATGCCATCTTGGGCTGCCTGCTTCCGGTCAGGCACACGGTGGCCCAACCCATGCTCACGCCTGGGTGCAGGGGCAATGGGTGCCTGTCTGGAAGGAAGGTGGAAGCCTGGACATTGTGAACCTGGTGTAGCCTGCTAAGATACATCTTCCCTATCCTATCCGTGCTACATGTTAACAGTATGCTAGTAATGCAAGATGCCCAGGGGACCGAAATTCTCCTGTAGGACCCCGCTGGAGCATGGTAGGTATAGAGTTAAAATGTTTTTATTTTTCGTGTTAGTTTTCCCGATCTGTATTGTGTAAGGATTGCGAAGGGCCTTTGCGGTTACATTTGTAGTTAGTTGGAGGACCATTACTCAATAGTACGCGAATAAACATAAATTAGGTCTGCAAATCCAAGCACAACTGAAGTGAACAGATTTCCTGCACATAACTGCAACATTTCCCGTCCTTTTCTTTGTTCCGGGAATCAGTCCAAGAGGACAGCAAGAGTTCTCCTATGCACATCCATAGACCCCCTCCCCCGATATCTCCTCCCCTCAGCTGGAGCCACTCACAGAAATCTTAGGGTACCAGGACCAACTTTGGTTAGCAGGTTGGACATCCTGGACATGTTGGCACCGAAGAGGGAATAAAGGCCCAAGGATTAAGGAAGTCAGGCTGCTGCGGCTGTTGTTGCTAAAGCCCGCTCCGGTGGGAATACTGTTTTCCCTCCAGGTCGGAAACCAAGTTCTAGTCATAGTCTCTCTCCAATCTTTATACTTCGTCTTGTTTCCTTTATTCTGGGTCAGTCTTGCTTCTAAGTACTTCATGCTCCGTCTGCACTGAGGTCCCTCAGATGAAGGCAGGGTGGTCCTCCCATGCCTGGCCTTTG